AACATCTTTACTTAATCCTCTGTGGAATGGGAAGCCAGGGAATGATACTGAATATACTAAAATGACTGTGTTTCAGAAAGATGATCTACATAGCTGATTGGATGTTATGTTGGAACAGTTATTCTGAAAGGAAAGGTCGCTGCACCTATAAATTCAGATGAATAAAATGAGTTCCCAAACTAAAGCAATTGTAATAATTATGGGCAGAAGGGAACATTCTCAAGAGGTGCTAGCAAACTGTTTCAAAATAAAAAATAAAAAGAGCCGAGGATGTAGCTCAATGGTTAAGCACCCCTGGCTTTAATTCCCAATACCAAAAAACAAAAAAACCTCACATGAAGCAAATCCAACTAGATCCTAAGATCAGAAAAACTGAAGAATAAATAATAGTTAATACTATTAAATAATAAATAATAGTTAATACATGGAGGCTTCAACTCCAAGGAAAAAATATTCTAGGTCAAGATAAAGTATTAATTCAAAAGATACTTCAGAGTTTATCTGAAAACCAATAATTACTTTATAAGACCAACTGAAATAATTATATGAAGTGATTGCAATGGAATATCAAAAGGAGAGTTTGAATGTTCTTTTAGGTTTTGAAAAATTGGCAAGTCAGTGGCAAATCATTACTATTTGTGACACACTTTCTAGCAGCAGCCCCGGAATACTCCTGGAAATTGTCTCATAGACTGTGAGAGTCATATATGTATTTGGTAATCTTAAAATCCTTGAATTGAATTTGGTTCAAAGGATCTAGACCTTATTACTTCCTCATGTTATCATCAACATTTACTTTGACCTTCATTTAGAAAAAGGAGTCTCTATGTCCACAGGAGGCCAGTTACGTTATTATGTGGACCTGAATTTTAGAGCATACAGGGAGTGAATTTTCTCTCATTCCCTGCAATATTAAGCAATAAATTGCTTTTGTTGACATTGCATGTGTATCCATTACAAGGCAATTTATGCAAATACAACTGTTTTATTACAAATCTCATTATCTGAGAAAATCGTGTTACAGTCCTTTTTGAAAGTTCAACATGAAGCAGCTTCTGTGTTTATTTAAATTTTCCAGGACCATCCACGAGAGAACAATTATTAAGGCTCTCTTGGATGGCTTAGAAAAATTTTGAATGGGCATCTGTGTTCCAAACAAATTATATGACTCCTGTTAAAGCACAGATTCTTTTCTCTCATGTGATTATCTTGATTTGCTTTAACCCAGAATGACATGACAGAGCTCATCATGCTCTGCTACCAGGTGCAGGGCAGAGATAGCTCCACTCTGGGTTCTAAGTACCTGCTACCTGAAGACTTAAGTCAGAAGGAAATTTTGAAGCTAGAGCATTCTAAAAGGGGAAAGACATTTATAAATGAGAATTACAATCCTCCATGTCACTCTGTTTAGAGAGAATGGAAGTGAACTCCTTCAGCCTGCTCCCAGCATACAGAAACAACAGGATTGAGCCTGTGCTTGCTTACTGTCTCTCTTATACATGTGTGTGTGTGTGTGTGTGTGTGCGCACACACACACACACACACACACACAATCCATACACTCATGGGAGATCATGAATAGCTCACCTCCTCTTCTTATACTTTTTATTTGGTGAAAGCAAATTAATAAGAATAGTAATTTGCTTATGAAATAAAGAACCTTGTAATTACAACTAAAGGCAGATATCATCTATTACTCAGGTTATATTCCAACTATTCAAATTCAAAAATAACTGTCCTTATCCAGTGTGATCCACTAATGGTCAGATATTGTTGGATATTTAAATGCTTTCCCTATGTCTTCTGTAATTTACCAGCCTGAGGAAGCAGGCACCATGAATCTCATTTTCTCTATGAAGAAGCCAAGGCTTACAAAATTAAACCCTGTATCAAAGTGTTTATAATACAAAATATTGGAGTTTAATATTCAAATACAGGTCTTTCTGGTACCAGAACCAGTGAGCTTGCTCATTTCTGCACCATATCTCTTTACTTACACACACACACACACACACACACACACACACACACACAGAGAGTTTATTTGTGTCCTTGAGGGTCAATTTCAAGAGTCAGCAGATAAGGAAAGAAGTGTACATTTAATATTATCTCAAATATTCCATCAACCAGTTGGGTGTAGTAGCACAAACCTGTAATCCCAGTGACTCAGGAGGCTGAGGCAATAGAATCGCAAGTTCAAGGCCAGCCTCAGCAACTTAGAAAGACTTCTAGCAATTTAGCTAGGTCCTAGAAAGACCAGAGATGTAGTTAATAGGTAAGAGGATGCCTGGGTTTAGTTATCAATATTAACATATCCCTTACCTGTAAGAATATAGAGCAAGTTTTCCCTCTTCTCTTTCAGAAATATCATATATTCCTCTTTCTTTCACTAGATATCAGAGGAAATAATTATATATTTTTTAGAAGTCATGGGATATAAATACATATCTTTAAATACTAGAATAACCTTTGGAGTCACAAGATCCTCACATTGAAAGGGTCCACAGAAATGAAACCAAATGAACCTCCCACTTTTTTGAGGCCATACTCACATGGAGTATGATACAAATTACAATTTCCCCTTCCCTCCTTCTTTCCCACCCTGTCATTTCTTATTATATAAGTATATAAGTTAATTTATTCAGATTAATTGCTCATATGATATAATTCCAATTAATTTTATTATGAATATCTCCAAGTACCATCATACTATGAGGAACTAATGTTCAGGACATCCCCTGAAGCTGAACCTTCAGTGTTCTCTCAAACTTCTACAGCAGCACATGGCTTTTAATTGATCCTCATCCCCAAGAGAAAATATTCTCAGACTGAAGGATTTCATTCAAAATGATGTCTTAAGATACAATTTTTATTTTGGAACTGGGACATTTCAATGAATGATTGGATAAAAAACACATTCTGAGGGAGTTCAGACCACATTACAAGGGCTGTTCATTTTTGCAAAGTCATTAATTAGAAATCCCTGATATTGTGTCTTAAATTTCCACAGAGTAACACTAGGAAAACATAACTGTATGAACCACATCAATGATCTGTCTTTAGAATACACTCTTTTATAAAGACTCAGAACAAAGATATGACTTGGTCCTAAAGGAAGAAAAACCATCCTTTACTGAATAATCAGCAATGATTTTAACCTTATAAACCTATAAAGTTTGTAATAAAACAATTACAATTCTTTCTTTGCTTTATCCAGTACAAAGTTCAGTATTACAATTGAGTATCTGAGATTCATCTATGAGCTCTATCTTACTATATTTACCCATATTCTCTCTTGATCTTATCAGCCTCTAGTCATATTGTGATCAAAGCAGGACTCAAATAAATAAAGAAATAAAAACAGTCATCCTAAATGAATAGGTATATCTTTGGGGACTCATGAAGTCAGTTGTTAATGAATCCTATAAATCATAGCATGGCACAAGGCCAGGGTTAAGAATTCTATACTAATCAGAAAGTTTTTAACTAAATTACACTCAATATTTCTCCATCAGGAACACAACAGTTGAGGCCATAGTAATGAATGAGACAGACAGGGTCTCCTGTTAGAACCTGAGGGACAAAGTAAGGGCAAAAACAAGAAGAAATTATATTAACACAAGATAAGAGCTGTGGAGGAAGATGCTAGACCAAGCCAACAGGACCAAGGATGGTGGGTGAATGTGTGTGGTCAAACCTAGAAATGATGTTCAGGATGACACAAATCTCTGATGAATTTTGAAATAATAGCTAATAATGATGCACTGAATTAAAAATAAAATTTACAACCAAACCTTAGCCCCTTTCTTCCAGCAGCCACATGCAGATATATCAGCCATATTTTTAAAAAGACATATCTTAATATACATGTTATCTGGGAGTCAAATACTCAAAGCTCTGTCTTCAAAACTTGTGATATCTTTCCTCATCAAATACAACTCTTTCTTTCTTCATGATTAATTAATTAATTTTGCAATATTGGGGATTGAACTCAGGGGTGCTCTTCCAATAAGCTCTATTACTAGCCCTTTGAATAATGATAATAATAATAACCACAATTATTATTATTATTTGAAATTTAGATATGGTCTTAGTAAGTCCAAGCTAACCTCAAACTTGCAATCCCCCTGCTTCAGCCTCCTGAGTCACTGGGATTATAGGTGTGTACCACCACACCTACCTTGGAATCTATTTCTCTTGCCCTGTTAATTTGTTCACATTTATAGTCCATTAGCCACAGTAGTCAACAAGCATTTCAAGTGAATAAATTTTTTACAAACAAAACTGAATTTAAGCTTATTTGAGCATAAGAACTATACAGAAATTTCCAACCATGCACACACACCCACATATACAACACACACACACACACACACACACACGCATACACACATTTACTATATCTAATATTTCAGTATGTGGAAACCTTAATATTTATTGTCAAAATTCCTAAAGTGAGAATTTTGTCTCATTTTCTAGAACCTGCCAGTAGCCAATATTTGAACCTATTACTTCCAATTTGAGTTGAATAGACAAACATTAAAGAATCCTAAGTTTCACTAAATAAAATTGTCTTTATTAGAATAATCTAAAGTCCAAAAGGTTAAATACATTGTACAATCTGGATATTTTATTTTGTTTTGTCTTAGTCATTCAGCAGCATTACTGTTAGTCTTCAATCAAAATGGAACTGTGATACAGTTCACCTAATTCTAAACCATTCTGCCCATTTTGGAAATGTATCCATGCAGAGGCACATCCAGCATATTCTCAGGTTTCTACATAGACTGGAATCTATCATCTGATAGAAGTAAGATATCAATTATAGTACCTATTTTCTTCTATTCATTTCTACTGGTACTTAGAGGACCTTAGTTTCACACCTTTGAAAATCTCTCTGAAAATAGCAGCATATTATAAACAAAGATGTTACAGTTGTGGTTTGCAGGATTTTGGGAATGTGAATGTGAGACGGGGTGACTCTCTGTAGTGTTCACTCAATAACGTCTAAAAGGAACCCTACAAGCCATTTGAAAAGGGCAACTTGGTGACTGCAATTGCTTCCTACCTGCCTCTTTTGAAATCTGTGTGAAGGATTCGACACCTTTTTCTCCATAACTTCCTTCAGATGCGAGAGTAGACACATAGTTCCAGCCAAGGGCCTTTACGATGTCTACCATGGCCTGGGCTTGAAAGGAATCAGGTGGGACCACACGGGAGAAGAAGTCATACCGCCGATCGTCACTGAGCTCCGGTGCTGTGGATGCATAACTAATCTGAGGGATCTGAAAAAAAGAAAGCATCACAAGAGAGCATATGGTCAGGATAGGAGCAACTCACTAATATTTATGACAGGTTACGCAAAGTACAGAGCAGGAACAGTAAAAGGGGTATGTGTTTGGCCATATTACCCTCATGTCATCTTAGACCATCTAACTATGACTACTTCTTTGCAGTACAGAAGTGTTGTTGAAGTCTTGCCCTTTCATTTTCCCTCTTAGAAGGAAAGGTTGAGGATAGCATGAAAATTTCAAGGTCAGGGTTGTGGTTGGTTAGGAGAAAAGCATTTATGCCCATTCTACTCAATATTGTATATTCCCTTTCATGCTTTCCTTCTTAACAACAATAGAAATAAAAGCATAACACCCTAACTTGACTGTATTCAGAGCTTGGTTTAGTTGATACAGCTTTCGAATATTTAGGAGTATAATTAGCCATTTTTTCACTGATTAAGTCCTGGAGACCTGCTAGGAAATATCCGAGTAAGCTACATGCATTGTCTAATTGAGTCTTCACAAGAATGGCACAAAGCAGCTCAGCCCCATGCAAAGGCATTTCTTGCTCAGAAGAAGCCAGAGCCCTGCAGCCCTGCCTGGCTTAAGTCCATATTCCTCAGCAAACTCTGTTACCTGCAGGAGAAATGTAAGCCCAAAATGCCAAAAAGAAAAACAGAAGTTACCCTGAAGTGGGAGACTTTTGTGACCCTTATATACACCAGATCCTGGAACTTAGGGTGATAAGGATAATCACCAGTAACCATAAAATCTGTAAGAACAGGCCCCAGTTAGAACCAGTCATTTTGGACCAAAATGATCTAGAGTGGTCATAGCAGTGGGGAATTGATAGTCTGATACCATTGTGCCGTCATTCAAAAGATAAGAGGTCGACCTGGAGGAGACTCTCTGGAAACTTCTCTGGGATCCCCAATTAAACTGGAGGGGAGGAGAGACACACTGTCCCTCTTCTCTCTGGGAGGTCCCACTCTTCTCCCTCTTTTCCCCTTTCCTATTCTTTCTAATAAACTCATGCCTGTTACTCCAAAAAACATGCCTGAAATCCTTTTGGCCTGATTGCAAACAAGGGTTAAAGAGGGGGAGGGTCTCTGTGACTGCCTCAGCTTTGTGTGGGCCCATGCCCTGTAACAGAAGGTCACTGATTAACAATCAAATGGCTTCCCTTAGCCCAGGTAGTATCTCTTTTTTAGGAGCATAAGTGATATGATTACGTGAGTAGTCTTGATACCTTGATTTTAGCCAAATCAAATTATGTAAATAAAGAAATTGCATTTAAAAGACTTGCTTACACTCTCAAACAACCTAAGGCAACCCCAAAAATAGGCCTGGATGAGGAATCTTGTTTGGAAACTAATGCCAGGAACCCTATGCTAGTTACTTCTACAATACACTAAACATACACACACACACACACACACACAGACACACACACACACACACACACACACACACCATTCTTTCTCTTAGCTCCAGCAAGTATTAAAGTATTATTAGTATAATTTGTATGTAAGAACAATCAACTCTAACAATATTCTGCTTGAAAACTCTTTCAGGACTTAACCCTGATTTATCATAATGATTTCTCAGATATCCAAAATCCAGTTATAATCTGTGTGCAGATTGTGTTCAACAGTCAATCTAGTTTGGCCCCAACATGCCAAAGCTAAAGTTAAAATGACCCTTTGAGCCCTGCATGCTCTTCAATATTAACCTTTTTGCATTTTTCTCTTTTTGTCTTTTGGCTGAATGTATCCATATGACAATGTTTAAGGCTGGTTATCACTTCTTTAAAGATCATTTCTTCACTCTTCAGCTTCAAAGTCAAGTCATGCTGCCTTGACATCATATCACCCACCACTATTTTCCTTGTATCAGAACTGTGTTGCAGTTCTACTCTACAGACAGTCAGGGGATGGCTCACTGCCCCTGACTCAAAGCCAATGCAGAATGAGGAGGTCTCAATGTCTCTTAATGGATCTTTACCTGAGCAATTATTCTATCAGTACAGTATACTAAATCAAGACTATACTATACCATGCTATTCTATTATTCTACTAAACTATAGTAGACGACTTTATTACTACATTACACTATATCATATTATTCTATTTCTACATTACTGTATCACATGCTATTCTATTACTAAAGTGTATTACATCATACTATCCCATTACTATGCTATTCTATATCAATGCTAAACTATTTCATACTATTCCATCACTGTGCTATATCAACACTATACTATATCATACTATCCAATTACTACACTTATTATATCATATTATTCTATTTTTACACTATACTATATAATGCAACTCTATTATCAACTTGTTTTGACAAAAGAAGTAAAGAATTAAGAGAAGAATATGAAAAAAAGAAGAAGAATATGAGCCTGTCTTAGGTCATAAAGTTGTAGAGATCCCTACTCAAACACTGCAAATGTCTAAACTCTTAATTTTACTAAACTGTTACTACGATGTTTTAATAATAATCAGAACATGAGGAAAACCAGTACATTATGGAAGTCCAGGCTGATTTCTGCCCACAGCACAGACTAAATAGTCATTAAAAGTTATTTTGTTAGTCATTCTTAGACTCTGTTTAGACATTTTATTTAAATTCCTTGGTAGAAATGCATGCAAATATTTTTATAGAATAAGTGTTGTTTATAGTTCAGAGGTTTAAGTATGAGTCAAGGAAATCTAATGAATAAAGACTTTGAGAGAAAAGGGAGGGAGGGAGGAAAAGAGCCTTCTCCTCACAAGAAGTAAAAAGGGAAGAAGCCAAGCATGTCAATCCTTTTCCATGAATTTCAACTTATGGGAATGCAAAAGCTTTGTACTTTTGCACAGATGCCATTCCTGCCAAAAACCCTTCCACCTTGGAAACAGTGCTAATAAAGATACACTCAGCATTCTATTTGAATTTACATTAATGTAGCTGCTTCAAAACATCATAATTGGAAAGGCCTCAATGTAAATGAATTTTCTAAACTGTGCCCCAAAATTTTATAATGAAAATCCCAGTGAAGCAGATTAATGACTGCTCTCTATGGTTGTCCCTTCCAGTGAAAATAAGCAATATCTACTGGCTTAAGACCTATGTTTCCCTTTAGGATCATGCACAGGTTCTCCATTTGATGATACTTGTTTCTATATTACACATATAATGATGCTAGAGTAAGAAATGAAAGAATAAATGAATTTCATTTCTGAGATAACAATATAAATTTACAAAGATATCTCTTCCAGTAAGAGAGATGAAGGACTGGAAAGGTTTATGTAACCTAGGAAAATATTTAGCCATGATGCTTCTTATTTGGACACTTGTTTCCAAGCTAATGTTTAAGTCTCCACCATCATTATTTGGAGGTGTGGGTTACAACTGGTATATACAACTGGCCAAGTGATTATTAGTCAACTATAGTGATTAACTTCTGCTCTGTCCTTGATACCTAGAGATACTTTCTCTTTCTACTATTAAAACCCTCCCTTCATGCCAATCTCCTATCAAAGTCAAGAACTGATCTTTTAATAGAAACAATTCAGTGTAATGATTTTCCAGCTATAGATAATAGACATTATGTCCCTTCATGAGGCTCCTTTTCCATTTAGAAAACTTGAAAATTTTTTATATTTATCATAGAGATAAAATGTCATATTGTTTTTCTTTTTTCTCATTTCATAAAAATTGGCCTATCATCACACAAGAATGGTTTTGTTAATGATTGAGTCTCCAAGCTTTGGAAGTATACATAGCTTACTCTACATGCTTTTACTTAGGAAACTAACAATAAATATTATTTACAAAAAAATACAGAGAATAAAAACCAAGAAAATCAGTTAATGTTAATTCCTGCATGCCTTTTAACATTTGTTATATCTTTTTTATTGTCCTTGTTTGTGTATTTGGCTATGCATACATATGTTATTCATTATGAGAATTTGAATCTTGGTCTCTTCTTCCCTCCTCTCTTTTTCTCCCACCTCTGTTTCTGGTTGCATAATATTCTGGTTGACTATTTAACACCCTTTTCAAGCTTCACTATCATTAGAAGTCAAAACAAAATCCTCAGACCTGATCAAGTCCCTTGTACACATGTACGCATCCTTCCTTGGACATGTTCAAGACTCTGTTTTTTCCAAGTGACAGAAGTATCTCTGACCCTCACTGAAATCTTTCTCTTCATGGAAATTACTTTGGGTTGTCACATAAGGTAGAATAGTAATATGTATCTTTTTGCACTTGAATGGGTAGCTACTTGTCCCATACCATCTATTAGGTAATTATTCATTCTTTACTGACAATTCTCAAACAGTGGTGGGCCTTTGGGTGGGGTGTATCTTTTATTATTCCTCTTTTCTGTATTCTAAATCTTGGGCCAGCATTTTACTATTTTAGTTCTTACAAGCATAGAGTATTTCAAGCATATATTATTTGCAATATTATCCCTTCCTCTTCTTTTCAACTTTTCTTTTAAAAAATGACAAATCACATATGCTTAGTTTTCCAAATAAACTTTAGAATAAGTTTTTTCAAGTTCAAAAGAAGTCTATTAAGATTGTTGATGAGAATTACATTATAGCCATAAATTAATTTAGGCAGAATTGAAACATTTACAGTATTTTGTTTTCCCTCAAGGGAAAATAACTGTTTTCATTCACTCACTTGTTTATTCTTTTGTTAGTAAAATTTTGTAATTCTTTAAATGTGAGTATTACACATTACTTGTTAAATTCGTCTCTAAGTAATTATAATTTTCATTGCATCTTGCAATGAGAAAATATTACGAGTTTGTTATCTCTCTATTGCTGGCATGTAAGAATCTATTGGTTTTTGCATGTTTTTTGACTTGTATCCTTATTAAAACTGTTATTACTTTTAATAACTTACACTTTATTTTCTTGGGATTTTCATGTAAGTTATAGTAATTCATTTAGTTTTATTTACTAATTATATAGTGTAGAATTTTGAGAATGAGATGGTGGGGA